GTTGGTCAGGTTGGTCTCGAACTCCTGACCTCCTGATCCGCCAGCCTCAGCCTCCCAAAGTGCTGGAATTACAGGTGTGAACCACCACGCCTGGCCGTCACACACATATTTTTAAGAGATAGGTCTCATTGTGTTGCCTAGGCTGAGACTGTCTCAATATTTAATGAAGAAAAAAGGGATAACATAGAGGCAAGCATCTGACATCTTTGGAAAGGTGAAATTATACAATTGCAAGATAGTCTTTTTTTGGGCAGGGGGAACGGAGTCTCACTCTGTCACCCAGGTTGGAGTGCAGTGGTGCGATCTCTGCTCACTGTAACCCCCTTCACGGGTTCAAGCAGTTCTCCTACTTCAGTCTCCCAAGTAGCTGGGATTACAGGTGCCTGCCACCACGCCTGGCTGATTTTTTTGTGTTTTTAGTAGAGACAGGGTTTCACCATGTTGGCCAGGCTGGTTTCAAACTCTTGACCTCAAATGATCTGCCCACCTCCGCCTCCCAAAGTGCTAGGATTACAGGTGCGAGCCACTGTGCCTGGCCTATTTTGTTTTTAATTCTCAGAAATATGGTGCTGAGACTAAGCAGTTCATCAGGGTGTTGATGGGAGAAAAATGAACATCAATTCAGTCCTTTTGCAAACAAAGAAAAAAATTAAAAATACTAATTTTAGTGTTTTGGGGCTGTTTGCATTATGTCATTCCTGGTGGACCTGGAACAATTTGTTAGGACTTGTATAGAACAGATGGAGCAGCTCAACTTTCTGGCAGTCATTCTGTGCCATCGCCTGCAGAGCAACTGTAAAACTCTGAATGGAGATGGATGCAGATCTCTCTTGATGTTTTAGATAGGATTTTTCCGCCACTTGGTGTTTTCTTGGAGAAGAAGCCTACATAGCACATATTACACTTTCAAATTATTTATGAAGGTAATACAGCTAGTGGTTCGCAGAGCAGGCACTGAGGTCAGGCTGCCTAATTTGTTTTTTGTTCATTTGTTTTGTTTTGAGATGGTCTCCTTCTGTCACCCAGGCTGGAGTGCAGTGGCACCATCTCTGCCCACTGCAGCCTCAACTTCCCATGCTCCAGCCATTCTCACACCTTAGCCTCACAAGTGGCTGAGATTATAGGCCCGTGCCACCACGCCCAGCTAATTTTTGTAATTTTAGTAGAGGTGGGGTTTCACCATGTTGCCCAGGCTGGTCTTGAACTCCTGAGCTCAAGTGGACCTCCCGCCTGGGCCTCCCAAAGTGCTGGGATTACAGGCATGAGCCACTGTGCCCGCCCGGCCCAGCCCAGGGTGCCTAATTTGAAAATGCAAATTAGGTGACTTTATGCAATTTGTTCACTATGTTTGTGTGTTTACGAACATGTGGGTATACCTCAGCTCCTTATTTGTAAAATGAGCCCATTAATTCTAGTTATGAGTATTACAGTAACAAATTTTAAAAATTGTGTTAGAAATGGGAGTTCTCATTCTGTTGCTCAGGCCATCTGGAACTCCTGGCCTCAAGTAGTCCTCCCACCTGAGCCTCCCGAGTAGCTGGGACTACAGGCACAAGCTACTGCAACTGGCACATATTAAATTAAATGAGATAATATGTGCTAAACAGATTTGTACCTGGCATATTGCTAATTTTTATTGGTTCCTTTGTTCCTGTCTTTCTACCTACCTCTCTCCCCTCCTTTCTTTAAAAAAAAAAAAAATTATTTAAGAGATAGAGTCTCACTGTCTCACCCAGGCTGGTCTCAAACTTCTGGGTTCAAGCAATCCACCCACCTCAGCCTCCTGAGTAGCTGAGATTACAGACACTAGCCACTGTGCCAGGCTCTTTGTAAAGTTATTGAATGTCTTTTCACTATAACCTCTAAGAAGGCAAGGACTATGATGTCTTCTTCAGTATTGTATCCTGATACCTAGCATGGCATACAGTAAGTGCTAAATAAATTTGTGTAATCTGAATGATTGAATAAATAGACATCCTTGCTTCACGGTATCAACTGAAGACAAGTAGGGAATTGTGACTGCTTAAAGCTGTATCAGGGGCTTTTTGAAATCAATAATTAACATCCTAATCCTTATATTCACTTGGTTATATAACCAAGCAAGTCCTTTTTTCTTTAAATCAAATGAAAATACTTGGGTGAAAGTTAGATGTGTGAAATTGTTAATGAGAAAATTATCCAGTGAAACTTTTTTTTTTTTTTTGAGACAGTCTTGCTCTATTGCCCAGGCTGGAGTGCAATGGCTCGATCTTGGCTCCAAGCTATTCTCCTGCCTCGGTCTCCCGAATAGCTGGGATTATGGGCAGATGCCACCATGCTTGGCTCATTTTTTTGTATTTTTAGTAGAGACAGAGTTTCACCATGTTATCCAGCCTGGTCTTGAACTCCTAACCTCAGGTTATCCACTCAACTCGGCCTCCCAAAGTGCTGGGATTACAGGCGTGAGCCACCGCACCCGGCCGAAACTTGTTAAAGATAGTAAGACAGACTGTATTCCAGAGGGGCCACGGTAATAGGTATGAAGACCACTGTGAGTCAGAGATTGGGCTTGACTCTGATTCCAGCAAGAACAAGAGGAGTTTACAACCAAGGAGCAGGATGGGGGTCATGAAATTACTGAGAGGAAACATCAGGGGTGATGGGGTTTCTGGCTGAACCTGCTTGATAGGATTATTATTGTAGGCAGGACAGGGTGATAAGATACCAAGAGTGGAGCATTTTCACTAACCTGACTTAGCAGCATTCTTGCTCAAAAGGTATTCTACGAGGGCGGAAAGGGAAGCCCAAGATTAGCTCTAGTCAGAAAGACCTTAGGAACCTGCCTCAAGTGTGATCAAAGAAGAGAATCTATCAGAGTCATTCTTGGATTTTTATTACAGGAACATGGGCTGTAATAAACACGAACATCACTTCATTCAGAACTGAGAGTATCAAATCTAGGCTGACCAAGAAGCTGTTAAAATAAACATACTCGCCGGGCGCGGTGGCTCAAGCCTGTAATCCCAGCACTTTGGGAGGCCGAGACGGGCGGATCACAAGGTCAGGAGATCGAGACCATCCTGGCTAACACGGTGAAACCCCGTCTCTACTAAAAAATACAAAAAACTAGCCGGGCGAGGTGGCGGGCGCCTGTAGTCCCAGCTACTCCAGAGGCTGAGGCAGGAGAATGGCGTAAACCCGGGAGGCGGAGCTTGCAGTGAGCTGAGATCGGGCCACTGCACTCCATCCAGCCTGGGCGACAGAGCGAGACTCCGTCTCAAAACAAAATAAAATAAAATAAAAATAAACATACTCAGAGGTCGGGCACAGTGGCTCACGCCTGTAATTCCAGCACTTTGGGAGGCCGAGGCAGGCGGATCACCTCAGGTCAGGAGTTCCAGACCAGCATGGTGACACTCTATCTCTACTAAAAAACCAAAAATTAACTGGGTGTGGTGGTGGACGCCTGTAATTCCAGCTACCTGGGAGGCTGAGGCACGAAAATCGCTTGAACCCAGGAGGCGGAGGTGGCAGTGAGCTGAGATGGCGCCACAACACTCCAGCCTAGGCGACAGAGTGAGACTTCATCTCTAAAAACAACAAAAATTAGCCAGGCATGGTGGTGCACATCTGTAATCCCAGCTACTCAGGAGGCTGAGGCGGGAGAATCTCTTGAACCCTGTGAGTGGAGGTTGCAGTGAGCTAAGATCGAGCCATTGCACTCCAGCCTGGACAACAGAGTGAGACTCTATCTCAAAGTAAAAAAATAAATCAATAAACCTACTCAGGTTAAGGTGACCTCGCTCTACAGAGAACAGATAGTATCTTAGAATGTTACTGTATGAGAACAAAATGACAAGCAATATCAATATTATGAAGTGATGTAGATAGCTATTTAAGCAAGTTAAACTACAACAGTGATCCTGAAATCTGTTTTCAGTGAAGACCTTAGCTCCTCCCAACATAAACCATGTTATAAAATTAGTGGTATAGACAGAGAAGAGGAAAGGACAACTTTTTTCTTTCTTTTGCTTCTGTTTTGTTTTTGTTTTTTAAGAGACAGTGTCTGGCTCTGTTGCCTAGGCTGGAGTACAGTGGTGTAATCTCAGCTTACTGCAGCCTTGACCTCCTGGGCTCAAGTGATCCTTCTGCACTCTAGCAATCCTCCTACTTCAGCCTCCTGAGAAGCTGGGACTATGGGCATGTGTCATCACATCTGGCTAATTAAAAAAATTTTTTTTGTACAGAGGGAGTCTCACTTTGTTGCCCAGTCTGGTCTTGAACTCCTGGACTCAAGCAGTTCACCCCTCTCAGGTTCCCAAAGTGTTGGGATTACAGGTGTGAGTCACTGCACCTGGCCAGACAACTTCTTATTTATTTATTTAGAGACAGGGTCTTGCTATGTTGCCCAGGCTCACATGCAGTGGCTATTCACAGGTGTGATCATAGCTCACTGCAGCCTTGCACTTCTGGGCTCAAGTGATCCTCCCACCTCAGCCTCCCGAGTGGCTGAGACTACAGGTTTGTGCCACCACATCTGGCTAATTATTATTTCTTTCTTTCTTTTTTTTTTTTTTTTTTTGAGATGGAGTCTTGCTGTGTCACCCAGGCTGGAATGCAGTGGCATGATCTCAGCTCACTGCAACCTCTGCCTCCTGGGTTTAAGTGATTCTTCTGCCTCAGCCTCCCAAGTAGCTGGGATTACAGGCATGGGCCATGACACCTGGCTATTTTTAGTAGAGACAGGGTTTCACCATGTTGGCCAGGTTGGTCTCGAACTCCTGACCTCAGGTGATCCACCTGCTTTGGCCTCCCAAAATGCTGAGATTACAGGCATTAGCCATCATGCCCAGCAATACTCTTTCGTCTCTATAGTTTTGTGTCTAAAGTCTTTCAAGTAGAAGCCAGATGAAAAAGGAATTCTAACTCTTTCAGAGCCAACAAGAAAGACTGGAAGACTGCAGAAAGGCAAATGCAGAAGGAGAAGAAGGAGGAAGGACTCCAGCCAGGTGTCTACTTACCACTTTTTGGTTGCCTTCATTATCGGTGAGCAGCCATTCAATATCCAGAGTGTCTTTTTCTGGAAGCCCCAGTTGATGGTGGCAGGGCAAAGTGACCTTTTCCTCTGCCACTCTCTTGATCTCAGTGTGAGTCCCCAAGGTTCCAACATAGTAGGAAACTGGAAGAAGAAAATCTTTAATGAGTAATGCAGAGACTGGATGGCAATGTATGGGGAACAGATATGACAACAAAAAATTATGGGATGTTCCTGTAGGCAAGGGCGTGTCAAGAGGTTGCAAGAGTCCTAGACTAGGAGTACTGGAAGTACTGGTCTCACACTGGCTCCTCTGTTAACTGAATTCATCACATCTTCTTTAACCACCCCAAATTGCATCCTACTAGTGCCTGTCTTTCTTACCTTACTTGGTCTTTATGAACAATGAAATTGCTCATGTCATCTTGTTTTTGGTTTTTTTTTGGGATGGAGTTTCGCTCTTGTCACCCAGGCTGGAGTGCAGTGGCAGGATCTTGGCTCACTGCAACCTCTACCTCCTGAGTTCAAGTTATTATCCTGCCTTAGCCTCCTAAGTGGCTGGAATTATAGGTGCTTGCCACCACACCCAGCTAATTTTTGTATTTTTAGTAGAGACAGGGTTTCACCATGTTGGCCAGGCTGGTCTCGAACTCCTGACCTCAGGTGATCCACCCGCGTTGGCCTCCCAAAGTGCTGGGATTATAAGCATGAGCCACTGTGCCCAGCCTGTTTGTTTGTTTTTTTGCTTGCTTGGTTGCTTGCTTGTTTTTAGAGAGATTGGGTGTCTCTCTGTTGCCCAGGCTGGAATGCAGTGGTGCAATCATGGCTCATTGCACCCTTGACCTCACCAATTCAAGCAATCCTCCCACCTCAGCCTCCAGAGAAGCTAAGACTATAGGCACATGCCACCATGCCGGCTAATTTTTTGTAGAGACAGGGTCTTCCTCTGTTATTGTGCCAGGTCCCAGGTTACTTCTGGGCTCAAGCGATTTTCCAACCTTGGCCTCACAAAGTGCTAGAATTGCAGGCATGAGCCACTGTGCCTGGAAACAACTGTGTTTTTTGATCTTTCTGTCTTCTATTAGCAGAGGCTTCCAAGAAGATGATACTCATGGAAACTGCACTAAGTTGCCCAAAAACTCATGTTCTTAAGTTATAGAGTCACAGCCATTTGAAGCTGGAGAAAACCTTAGAGATGAACCTTCTTATTTTCTTTAAATCTAGTAACAGTTGTTGCTGACCAGTAGCATGTATTTAGAAGGATGAAAAGACAATTACACAAATACTGTAATATAAAGGGAAATTATTCATGATGAAAGGGCTATGCACATTTAGAGGAGAGAAATTATAGGCAATTAATTACAGGGTTCAGGAAAAGCTTAAATCCTTCCAAGGTTTTGTAAATATTAGAAACAGAGTATGTAAATCATCTAGTATAGTATTTAGCACCAAGTGGCTCTGAATACAAGGCAATTTATTTTACTATGGAGAAGGTGGCATTTGATATGGAGCTTGGAAAATGGAATTCATGTGGATAGAATAGAGGAGGAAAGGTGTTAAGATGTTGGAGATGACAGGATCAAAGGCACAGGATGGGAGAGGCGGCAGGGGCGGATATTCAGTAAATGGTAATAGTTCAGCTTGGCTGGTGTGAAGAAGTGCGTAAAAATAAAACAAATTATGCTGGAAAAGTGAAGCAGTTGATGGGATAAAAGCCCTTTCCTGCCGCAGTGAGCACAGTGACATGATCTCTTGCTTAAGGAAGAGATAATTTAGGAGCTGTGTGTTGAATGCACAGGAAAAGGGAAATATTGAGACATACATTTGTGAAAATGCTATTAAATTTTTCCAAGTAAGAGATACTGCGCTAGGATAGTGGTGAAGGTAGTAAAAAACAAATTATGGATTTGCGAGGTAATGTGATAGTCAAAACTACGGAATACAGCAACTGACTGGATCTGAGAGGAGAAAGAAAATGGATTCAAAAGCAAAGATTGGGCCAGGCACGGTGGCTCATGCCTGTAATCTCAGCACTTTGGGAGGCTGAGGAGGGCAGATCAGCTGAGGTCAGGAGTTTGAGACCAGCCTGGCCAACCATGGCCAACATGATGAAACCCCATCTCTACTAAAACTACAAAACTTAGCCCAGCATGTGTGTGGGTGCCTGTAATCCCAGCTACTCAGGAGGCTGAGGCTGGAGAATCACTTGAACCTGGGAGGCAGAGGTTGCAGTGAGCCGAGATCACACCATTGCATTCCAGCCTGGGTGACAGAGAGAGACTCTCTCTCAGAAAAAAAAAAAAAAAAAAAAAGCAAAGATTGTTTTTAAGCTTGCATGACTGGTAGGATGGTGATCACAGTAGCAGTGATGGGGAAGCCAGTAGTACGATGTGTTTTATTTGGGGGTGAGCTGGGGAGGGTAGGCACTGAGTTTAGATTCAAGTCCATTGTGATGCAGGCATCTGTCCAACAGGCATCCCTGTGTTCTTTCCCCAACCACAGCACCTCCCTTTCCACTGCTGATGCTCACACAGCTTCCCAAATAGTGTCCACCCTCAGTTGTTGTGTTAGAGGAAGTCACAGCCCTGCTTTGCTTTATTTCTTCATTTTTCATTTCTCTTGTGCCTCTAAATGAAGCTCTTGGAAATACTTCTGTTCCATCCATTATGCCTGGGCTAAACTGTCTCAGGTCCCTTAATTTCTCTGCTTATTCCACAAAAACACTTTTTTTCCTTCTACTGAGACAGGAAGTCAGGGGTTGGCATCCTCCCCAAAACAGGCTTCAGTACCAGGTCACGGGCTGGGTTCCAGGTTGCTCCTTAGAGCCTTCCTAGAGACAGGTTACTACCCTCCTCCCCCACTGCCCGCCCCCGGCCCCCGAGCTCCGACCTCTCTGTAAGTGCAGAAATACCTTGGGGAACAAGTGGGCTGTTACAAGGAGTTCTTGCCTCCCTTAGAAACACACATTCTTGTATCACCCCAAGTTCTATCTTCCATTCTCTGTAGCTTTCTGTCAGATGGTTTCAAAATATGAAATAGCCTTTTTCTTTTCTTTTGAAATGGAGTCTCGCTCTGTCACCCAGGCTGGAATTCAGTGGCATGATCTCAGCTCACTGCAACCTCTGCCTCCCGGGTTCAAGGGATTCTCCTGTCTCAGTCTCTGGAGTAGCTGGGATTATAGACGTGTGCCACACCGGCTGATTTTTTTTTTGTATTTTTAGTAGAGACGGAGCTTCACCATGTTAGCCAGGCTGGTCTCGAACTTCTGACCTCAGGTGATCCACCCGCCTCGGCCTCCCAGAGTGCTGGGATTACAGGCGTGAGCCACCAAATCGGCTTCTCTGTTTATTTTCTAATTCTCTAATTCCCTGTTTATTTACCAAAATTGATCAGCAGCCAATTTGTGGGAAGGAAAAGGGCTTCTGGTATTCTTGCTTTCAGGGAAATGAGATGAGGAAGAATGGAGCAGGGGCGATTGTGCTTCATTCTACAGCAAGGCTGCTTGGGCTGAGCCTGCAGGGGAGGAGCCCTCAGAGGCATCTGAAATGGCCTTTGCAAGTGTTATATCAGTGGGAAAATTATAACAGTAAGCTAAACTAACCCACCCTGGATCTTCCCTTTCCCTTAATTATTCCCGGGCTACTGGGTCGAGATAACTTTGGAAGACATTTAGGTTATGGTTCAAATGATAATAGGCCTTGCCCAAAACTCAACCGCTTTTGCAAAGCTAATGGGAGGGCCATCAGGCTGGGAAGGAGAGGAGCCTAAATCCTGGTTAGGCGCAGACATAAGCCATTGTCAGCCATTACGCCAGAGGTGATAAGATATGCAAGGCTGAGGTAGGAGGATCACCTGAGCTTGGAAAGTCGAGGCTGTAGTGAGCCATGATTGCACCACTGCACTCCAGCATGGGTGACAGAGTAAGACCCTGTCTCTAAAAAAAAAAAAAAGGTATGTAACTTCCCTAGTTATTCCTGCAAATAACACCACTATTGTAGAACCTCAGATTGGCCCTTGGAGCTATCTTTCCAGGTTTTTTTTTTTTTCTTTTCTTTTCTTTTCTTTTGACAGAGTGTCTCTCTGTCGCCAGGCTGGAGTGCAGTGGCACGATTTTGGCTCAGTGCAGCCTCCGATTCCCTGGTTCAAGCGATTCTCCTGCCTCAGCCTCCCAAGTAACTAGGACTACAGGCACAAGCCATCACACGCAGCTAATTTTTGTATTTTTAGTAGAAACAGGGTTTTACCATGTTGGACAAGATGGTCTCAATCTCTTGACCTTGTGATATCTGCCCACTTCAGCCTCCCAAAGTGATGCGATTACAGGCGAGGGCCACCGTGCCCAGCCAGGTTTTTTTTTTGTTTTTTTTTTTTTGTTTTTTTGAGACAGTCTTGCTCTGTCACCCAGGCTGGAGCGCAGTGGCGCAATCTCCTCTCACTGCAACCTCTGCCTCCCAGGTTCCAGTGATTCTCCTGCCTTAGCCTCCCAAGTAGCTAGGATTACTGGCATGTGCCAACGTGCCTTTTTTTTTTTTTTTTTTTTTGTATTTTTAGTAGAGACAGGATTTCACCATGTTGGTCAGGCTGGTCTCGAACTCTTGGCCTCAAGTGATCCAACAGCCTCAGCCTCCCAAAGTGCTGGAATTACAGGTGTGAGCTACCATGCCCAGCCTCCTCCTGCCCAGTTTTATGTGGCTTCCAGGATATCTGGTTCTCCCATTATCCTGTAAGCTCCTTGAGATCAAGTACCATTCATTACTGCCTTCCCATAGTACTCAGCCCAGGGTCTCACACTGCAAGTGTTCAATTAATATTTGTTGAATTTATTTGAGTGTAACCCACATGCTCATTTTTACCAATGAACAAACTAAGACCCAGGGGTAAAAGAGACAGCGCAAGGTCCTACAACTCGTTTAGTGGCAGAAATAATCCATATAATAACCCATCCTCCCAGAATTACAATAAAGCAGCTTTAGAACAGCTGGGAAATTCACTGGTTTGCACTATACTAAGCTAAGCTTTGTAAGAAGGAGCTTTGTAAGAACGAGCTCTGGCTTAACCCTGATCACTTTCCACTGGACACAAAAATGCTCAAATGAAACCAGTGCCCTACACTCCAGGCAGAGCTAGAGAACCCAGCACCAATT